TAAAACTGTTTTTAACTCAACGACTAAGGCTTTCTGCTCCCTGCCTGGCTCTGTCTTCCACCTCATGTTCTTTACCTTGTGTCCAAACTCTTTTGCTCATGAACCCTCTCAGGTAAGACACAGTGGTCCCTCAGTCCATTAGGGATTGACTCAAGGACCTGTGATATAAAAATCCATGGATGCCCAAGTCCTTTACATAAAATGGCAAAATATTTGTACAGAACCTGCACACATCCTCCTGTAGACTTTAAATCATCTCTACAATAACGTATGATACCTACTACGAAGTAAAGTCTATATAAATAATTGCTGTACTGTATTATTTAGGGGATAATGACAAAGAAGCATGTGCATGTTCAGGGTAGGTGCAGCCATGTGGTCCTAACTTCATGTTGGATCCAGAATTGACTGCGATTTTTTCTGTTCTTATCAGTCATACATTTTGGGTATATATCTATTTCATTGCTCAGCCTGTTTTCACATCAGTGAAGCACTGTTCTTCAGATCCATCACACACCTGGGAGGAAGGGCTCAGTCAAACTCAGGCAGATTGCCTTGCAAGCCCCCTGGGCTGGGTGATGTGCTCTGTGGACATCTGTTCTGGCCAGGCAGGGTTACCTCTGGATTTCCGCATTTTCTCTTTCCTCTTCCCAGGGCAAAATCATCCCACCTTTGACTGGTTCTCTATATTCTTCAGATGTTTATTAAGCCAATAGGCACCAAAAAACAGGCCATACTGCTTAGAGGATACAAGCCAATTTAGGCTCAGTAGTTACAGTTGTATTCATGGTCTTCAAGTAGGTGTGAGTTGCTGGAATCCAGTGCCAAAATACACAGCTACAGATACCTGACTTTGACTTCAGTCCCAATCTCTGAATCTGTGTTTACATAGGAGCAAGGAGCATGAGAAATCAGTCAATTCATCTGCTCATTTACTACTCACTGGCCCGAGGCTAAATGAACTTACTCAACATTTATGAGGAGTAATTAAACTGACGTTTGGACAGGGGTCAGAACACAAGTGATGGCTATTTGGATTGTTTCCAGTTTTTTTTTTATTTTGATCTATGCTTAATGGACAAGCATTTACATGTTTTACTCTGCACACTACATTTGCAGGATGGCTCCCCAGAAGTGGAATGCTGGATCCAAGGGCGAATGTGTTGGTAAGTTTTGTAACTACGGATATAGCCATATTTTGCTTTTTTAATATTTATTTTGTTTATTTGAAAGATGGAGTTACAGAGAGAGGTAGAGGTAGAGCCAGAGAGAGAGAGAGAGAGGGGTCTTCCATCAGTTGGTTCTCTCCCCAGATGACTGCATCAGCCAGACCTGAGCTGATCTGAAGCCAGGAGCCAGGAGCTTCTTCCAGGTCTCCTATGTGGGTGCAGGGGCCCAAGGAGTTGGGTCATCTTCCACAGCTTTCCCAGGCCATAGCAGAAAGCTGGATTGGAAGTGGAGCAGCTGGGACACAAACCGGCACCCATATGGGATGCTAGCACTGCAGGCTGGGGTTTTAACTCCTTGTACAATAGCGCCGGCTGCATATTTCAATTTTTAAGAGTTATACTTTAATTTTAGGCATGGAAAACCAAGACACTCTGGCAAAAAAAAATTCCTAAATGAAAGATCTCTGCGAGTGAGATCCCAGTAGAAAGAATGGGCCATCAAAGAAGGAGATACCTTTCTCTGAAGGGAGGAGAGAACTTCCACTTTGACTATGACCTTGTCTAAATAAGATCGCAGTCAGCGAACTCAAAAGGCTTCCATAGCCTTGGCAACTCATGACAAGAGCCTATGAAGATTACTGATGCCATAAACAAGAGTGTCAATTTGTTAAGTCAACAACAGGAGTCACTGTGCACTTACTCCTCATGTAGGATCTCTGTCCTTAATGTGTTGTTCAGTGCGAATTAATGCTATAACTAGTACTGAAACAGTATTTTACACTTTGTGTTTCTATGTGGGTGCAAACTGATGAAATCTTTACTTAATATATGCTAAACTGATCTTCTGTATATAAAGATAATTGAAAATGAATCTTGATGTGAATGGAATGGGAGAGGGAGCGGTAGATGGGAGGGTTGCAGGTGGGAGGGAAGTTATGGTGGGGAAAAAGCCTTTCTAATCCATAAACTGTACTTTGGAAATTTATATTTACTAAATAAAAGTTAAAAAAAAAGAGTCATACTTTAGCTTACACTTCACTTAGCGATTACATGTGGGCCAGGTCCCCTAAAACCTCATCATCATAGTGTGTCAATCCTTTGGATTGTTGACTATCTGACAGGTGAACAATGGGTCCACAAAGTAATTTGATTTTGTATTTTTTATCATTAGAAATGTTGTGCATTTGAACTGTTGAAATCCTTACTTAATGTATACTAAGCTGATCTTCTGTATATTAAGATAATCGAAAATGAATCTTGATGTGAATGGAAGGGGAGAGGGAGTGGGAAAGGGGAGGGTTGTGGGTGGGAGGGACAGTATGGGGGGGAAGCCATTGTAATCCATTATTCGTACTTTGGAAATTTATATTCATTAAATAAATAAATAGGCCATTGGAGGGTGAACCAACGGCAAAGGAAGACCTTTCTCTCTGTCTCTCTCTCTCACTGTCCACTCTGCCTGTCAAAAAAAAAATAATAAATAAATAAATAAATAAATAAAAAAGAATTGTTGTGCATTTGTCATATGCTTAGGAATCATTTGCATTAGATACCTGTGGACTTTGAGCCAGCGCCGCGGCTCACTAGGCTAATACTCCGCCTTGCGGCGCCGGCACACCAGGTTCTAGTCCCGGTCGGGGGTCGGGGCGCCGGATT